CTAAAATATCTTAGCTTTTTCACCCATGCCCCTTCCTTAATATAAGCCCCTACTCATAGTTATCAACTAGACGAGTGGGGGCCCGTGGAATTTAGTCGGTTGGGGTCCCTCACCCGTATTTTTCAAAGTACGCTCTCCTGCATGGGATGGGGCCATTGGATTTGGTTCAACAAGTCTCTGTGGTATGAATGAAGTTTTACGTCCTACTTTTCTGCACCATGTGGGGTGCGATGAGGTAAATTTTGCCAGGACAGCGGCATTAGCCTGCTCTTTTTCGATTTCCAACTGTCGAGGGATCTTTAACGTGCACAGCCTGTAGCACACGGGACCTCGGTTTATTGTCCCATCCGAACGACTAGACGCTTTTTCCATGTCAGCCCCTCGTACCCGCATCACTGACAGGGGGAAACCGGGTTAAAAAATCCGAAGGTATTATCTCGACCTATACCGGGACCCGGTGGTATAGTTAAGCCATTGAGTATATTTCAACATCGTGTCATAAAACTAATTCTGACTGGGGAATACATCTTTAATAGAAAAGACTTTAGGCTTAAAATAACATATTTTCCTCAAAATTCTGATCATATACTAATAAAATGAGGTCAAAACAAACTGGATTTTCTTTTATTTTCCCAAAGTGATAAGTCATTAAGTTTTGGAAATATTTGAAATATTGAGAAAATTAGGTCATTGATAAGAATATTTCATTTATAGAATTTTACAAATTGATTTTTTCTTGTTACAAATGATGCAGTTTGTGAGATATGTTTTGTTGAAACTTTGATTTACCGTTAAATGCCTCCTCTCCCCTCTATGACACACACGACAGTGGCAAAAAATGACTTCGAACCTTCCAGTCTGGTCCACAGCCCCCACCCCTCTCCTCCTTCGTCAGTGAGGCAAGTCAGGGAAGGAGGTTTCTTATAAAAAAAACTGCACATTTCATTCGTCAGCCTAATAACAAAACGCAGAATAATGGACGTAAAACTCTTGTCATTTCATTTTTTTTTATCATGGCAAAGGATATGGTTGATCCTTATCAATTTTCTTTTTTTTTTTTAGATATTCTCTTAAAGTTTCTCATGAATGAGCGATGTCGTCCCTTCTACGTGGCAGAATGACGAGAACTTTAATGTAAGTACATGTGTGAAGAATTATGTGTCTTGTAAGTACGAACAAGCCCCACTTCACCCTATGTTATGTGTTAGTTTAGTCACATGATCAAAGGTTATGACCTTATCTTTGGCGGGAAGACATCTCGCGCAATTGTATTCTGGTTGGACTCCAAGAAGTAGGAATAAAGTTTTGTAGCTATTCATCTTATTCTTCGATGGATCCCAACCCCCCGGTGTAGAGTCTCACAGATTATACCCCACACATAGGTATATAACAAAGATTTTTGTTCTGTGTCAAAGTGTTTTGTATCCTTGTGAACCGGGGAGGTTGATGGGGTTCAATTTTGATTGAAAAAATTGATTAGCATTAAGTAATAAAACAAATGTGTTTTGTCATTTCCTCGCTCCAATTCTTCAAATCACATTTTTACACATCACATTGGTATTATCATTTTCGACATATCATTTTGGTATTATCATTTTCGACATATCATTTTGGTATTATCATTTTAAACATATCATTTTCAACATTTCTCAAAGCGCAATATGCAAATGAGGTCAAAAGGCGTGACTTCCAGAACATTATACTCACCTCTAGAGCTGAGCTTTACTGTTGTTTTTGTTTTTGCTGAAGATGAGCGGTTCCCACTATCACTAAACGACAATAAACGCGCGGTTATTCCGAATTATCTTTCCTTGGGAGGTATTAGTGTGTGAGAGAACATTTGTCTGGAAGCCACGCCCTTTGACCTCATTTGCATATTGCTAGGAGAAATGTTGAAAATGATATGTAGAAAATGATAATACCAAAATGATATGTCAAAAATGATAATACCAAAATGATATGTCAAAAATGATAATACCAAAATGATATGTCAAAAATGATAATACCAAAATGTTATGTCAAAAATGATAATACCAAAATGATATGTTTAAAATGATAATACCAAAATGATATGTCGAAAATGATAATACCAAAATGATATGTCAAAAATGATAATACCAAAATGATACGTCGAAAATGATAATACCAAAATGATATGTCGAAAATGATAATACCAAAGTGATATGTCAAAAATGATAATACCAAAATGATACGTCGAAAATGATAATACCAAAATGATATGTCAAAAATGATAATACCAAAATGATATGTAGAAAATGATAATACCAAAATGATATGTAGAAAATGATATGTTGAAAATGATAATACCAAAATGATATGTCAAAAATGATAATACCAAAATGATATGTAGAAAATGATAATACCAAAATGATATGTCGAAAATGATATGTTGAAAATGATAATACCAAAATGATATGTCGAAAATGATAATACCAAAATGATATTTCAAATATGATAATACCATAATGATATGTCAAAAATGATAATACCAAAATGATATGTCGAAAATGATATGTCAAAAATGATAATACTAAAATGATTTGTCAAAAATGATAATACCAAAATGATATGTCAAAAATGATAATACCAAAATGATATGTCGAAAATGATATGTCAAAAATGATAATACTAAAATGATTTGTCAAAAATGATAATACCAAAATGATAATACCAAAATGATATGTCAAAAATGATAATACCAAAATGATATGTCAAAAATGATAATACCAAAATGATATGTAGAAAATGATAATACCAAAATGATATGTCAAAAATGATAATACCAAAATGATATGTAGAAAATGATAATACCAAAATGATATGTCGAAAATGATAATACCAAAATGATATGTCGAAAATGATATGTAGAAAATGATAATACCAAAATGATACGTCGAAAATGATAATACCAAAATGATATGTCAAAAATGATAATACCAAAATGATATGTCAAAAATGATAATACCAAAATGATATGTCAAAAATGATAATACCAAAATGATATGTCGAAAATGATATGTAGAAAATGATAATACCAAAATGATATGTCGAAAATGATATGTAGAAAATGATAATACCAAAATGATACGTCGAAAATGATAATACCAAAATGATATGTCAAAAATGATAATACCAAAATGATATGTCAAAAATGATAATACCAAAATGATATGTCAAAAATGATAATACCAAAATGATATGTCGAAAATGATAATACCAAAATGATATGTCAAAAATGATAATAACAAAATGATATGTCGAAAATGATACGTCGAAAATGATAATACCAAAATGATATGTCAAAAATGATAATACCAAAATGATATGTCAAAAATGATAATACCAAAATGATACGTCGAAAATGATAATACCAAAATGGTATGTCAAAAATGATAATACCAAAATGATATGTCGAAAATGATAATACCAAAATGATATGTCGAAAATGATATGTCAAAAATGATAATACCAAAATGATATGTCAAAAATGATAATACCAAAATGATATGTCGAAAATGATATGTCAAAAATGATAATACCAAAATGATATGTCAAAAATGATAATACCAAAATGATATGTCAAAAATGATAATACCAAAATGATATGTAAACGTATAATTAGTGAGGAAATGACAAAACACATTTGTTTTATCACAAGTTACTAAAGCAAAATGACAAAGTTGACGGCATCATAATAAGTATTAGACAATTTAACAGAGCATCTTATTTTGACCCAAAAACCCTTCCATAGATGTCAGCAGTTGAGCAACTAATACCAAGACACTAATACCAACCATCACCAAAATTTGGTTCATTTTGGCCATCGCAAGCTAGCCACTAGACTAAAACATCAGCCTCTGATAGCTATTTTGACAGTTATCGACTGCTTGACAGTTGTCGGCTACCGCAGCCTATAACTGTCAAAATAGCCATCAGAAACTGGAATACAAGCCACATACTCACCGGACTGGGTCATTGTCCTTTCCATTGCAAACGTCCAATTTGCTTCACTTAAACGTCCATATATCTAATTTCATACTGTCCTCCTTTTTTTATTTTTCAGGGTGATAGTGGTTATTACTAGTCTGCTAGTGATATACGTCATGGAATTTAAAGTTTATCATGGTTCCAATGAAGGCAGAAAGTCCAACTCTGGTCCGACTTCGTTTATTTCTGAACAAATTCCAACAAAAGCAAATGGAATCCAACAGAACACATCCAAAGACAATTTAGTGGCAAACACGAACATTAGTAAGGACCAAGTTCCTGGCATTAAATGCTCAAAAAGATTCAACATTGCGTTTCTTAAGACGCATAAAAGCGGCAGCACTACAGTTTCCAATATATTATATCGTTTTGCGATTCGCAATCGTTTGAATCTCGCATTACCGAACAAAAGGGGTAAACCAAATCATTGGGTTTTAGGCGATTTGACAAACTTTACGGACGCCTCTATTCTGCGGTTACCCACAGGTGAACATTATAACATTTTGGCGGTGGAATCTATTTATAGACGGGATGTTTTCAGGCGAATCGTACCAAGTAATCCGTATTTTCTGACCATAGTCCGAGAACCCGTGGACAGATTCATTTCTTATGTATTTTTCAACAAGAAGAATAATGTTGAAGGCATGCCTTATGTCATTAAAAACTCATTTTTGAAAGACAAAGTTTTCAAAATGGCTGCCAAAGGCATGAGCCTTGATTTTGGAATGAAGTACAACGGTTCAAAACTATTGTTAGATCCGAGGCGATTTGTCCAAAATATTACGACAGATTTTGATCTGATTTTGGTAGCAGAATATTTTGACGAGTCTCTATTACTGTTGAAAAGACAACTCTGTTGGGAACTTAAAGATATCATATACATTAGCAAAAACGTCAACGCCCAAAAACGTAATTACGCTTTGGACGCTCATGACGTTGAACGCGTGCGAAATTTGACGCAAGTAGACAATATGCTGTACTCGAAGTCAAAGACTAAACTGTTGAAACAGATTTGGAAACTCGGAATCGAATTCCTTGACGAAGTATTCCATTTTAAAGGAGTGTTAAAATTGGTTAAAAACTACTGCGTTCATGGGATGAAACATTTTTCTAATACGACCATACCGGAATCGGAGTGGAACCAACGTTTCTCTGTGACGGAAGGTGATTGTAGATATTTGTTGATGGACGAACCAACTCTAGTTGGGAATCTTCAAGAACGAACTTGGTTGCGGTATACAAAGTTCAGAGATGGTTTTTAATGCTGCGTGAATCAGATAGGGCCAAAATACCTACCTATTTCGGACTAATAGTGCGAACCCACCAGTACGGAAGCAAATAATATACAATTCGTAGGTGACCGCTTGAAATCTCGTATAACGATATATGACGTGAAATTACTTTTCGAGAAAAACACAAAAAACTATTTGTACGCGTATTTTGTTATGATCTTTTTTATTATTTTTTTAACCGCTGTACGTGGTTTTCATTCTTTGAAAATATAAACCTTGTATAACAATTTGAGATCTCCGGCCTATTGAACCAAAAACTTAATTAAATAACACGTATATAAACAGTCAGATTTAAAACCTCGTAAAATATATTATTATACGAGGTTCAATGTTCCTTTTTCTGGGATAACAATGAAAAACCTCGTATTACACAAGTTTTGGTCACCCACGATATATACATGTATACGCGGAAATCGCACACCGTACATCGCTCCGTACAACGCAACTATACACCGGCTGTAAATCAAGCCGTTTGCAAAAGCAAGAATTATTCTTTGTTAATCTTAAGTCATTTGAAATCGTTTTATTTAAAGTGATACTACGTCTTAGAATTAACATAAAATTTAAGAATTTTAAACTTGGCGAATAAGAGCCAGTAGATATACCTGGTGTCATAAATAACATAACAGGATCCTTATATAATCCGATAAATCCAAAAAACTTAGTAATTATCCATAAATATGCAATTAACTATTGAAAAACGCTTAATATCAAGATTAAGCGTATTTCAATAATTACTTAGTTTTATGAATTTTCCAATTTTCTAGATTTTATAGGGATTCTGTTGTAACTTTATGACACCAGGTAAGTTCACTGATGAATATATACTCATATTGACCTTTTCGAGAACTTAAATTTTATGTTCATTCTAAGACGTAGTATCACTTTAAGTCTCACTTTTTGAACAGATGAACTCCACAAGTTTTTCTGCTAATAAAATACGGACTGATAATTTTCTATGTAATACAAATATTGTGCCCTTTTTGCGTCTTTTGAAGATGTGTTCTTGTTTATCTGTTTACTTTTGTATATTGATAATATATTATTAGTTTTATTAGATATTAGTTTTTAATGATAGAATATTCGCCCGCTGTATCAAGGGTTGGTTGTAGTTAAACTCTCACGCTTCTCGATAGATCAAATCTGATTTGTGGTATATGCTTAAGTCTATGAAAATAGCAATCCCGTGCTTCATCTTTGTACAAAGATTGTTCGATCCCGTTTTAAACTTTAAATCTAAAAGCAAATGAAATGAAATGAGTTTAACGTCCTACGTTTCTGCACCAAGTGGGCTAATGAAGACGGGCAACGCCATGCAGGGTGCGATGAGGGAGATTTAGCCAGGGCAGCGGCATTAGCCAGCTCTTTTTCGATTTCCAAATGTCGAGGGATCTTCAACGTGTACAGCCTGTAGCACACTGGGCCTCGGTTTATTGTCCCATCCGAACGACTAGACACTTTTTCCATGTCAGCCCCTCTTACCTGCATCACTGACAGGGGGAAACAATCTAAAAGCAAATCTATGTATATGGTTGTAAACACGATGTTCTCCTATGTTCGCGTCTCGTCAGAAAGTTTTAAATTTCATCGTGGGAGCCTGGGTGGCTGAGCCTTCCAACCCGTTTTCCCAAGTCATTAGTCACTTCGAGGCCTCGTTTGCTAAAGCCTGTGCTCCTTACTGATCCTTGTAAAAATGGACAGCGGGCTAACTGCCAACACCACCCCCCCCCCCCCCCCCTTTCTAAAACACACACAATTCCGACAAGATTATGTATGATTTATCATTTGGGACTATTTATCTACAACAAAAGCCGTAAAAACGAAAGACAATTCTCAATGACGTCTAATCATACCTGAAAACCTAAAAAATTGTTTGATAGCTTCTAGTGAAGTCATTATCAACGTCATATTATAAATCGGCACAGTCATTGACCTAATAGGTGTCAAAATATCTGTTTATTTTTTTAGCGCTTTTTACGGAGCCCCTAAGGTGCAATTTTTCATAGGCTACTTTTATAAAATATTTCGTTTTAACGAAATAATTAATTCGTTTAAACGAAAAAACTAATTTGTTTAAACGAAATAATTATTCCGTTAAAATAAAATAAATATTGGGGCTGACATGGAAAAAGCGTTTAGTCGTTCGGATGGGACAATAAACCGAGGCCCCGTGTGCTACAGGCTGTGCACGTTAAAGATCCCTTGATAGTTGGAAATCGAAA